TATATATATATATATATATATATAAAGAAGGACTAAAATACTTTTTAAAGCTTTGTGCGATGCTGTTGTAGATTTGCTGTACAGATTTTGAGCGAAAGCAAGCAGAAGAGCTTTTGATTACTGCTGTTTTCATTAGAGCGATGGTGAAAGTGCCAAAGAGCCATGTTTGGCTCTGGAGCTGCAGGTTTCAGCCTCCTCATCTGGTCCAAATCCAGACCAGATTTCAATTGAGAATTTGTAATGAGACTGGAACATGACTCTTCAAAGACACCATTCATTTCAAATATGATTATTGTTTCTTTTAACTTAATGAAACGTAAAAAAAAAAAAGAAGAAAAAAAATATCCAAGGTGTATCATTACCTTAGGAAGTCCCTAAAAAAGCTTGGTGATTATACCTCTGATCAATGAGATGCATGTTATTTCTATCCAGCTAAGATTACTTTTTTTTACCTTAAAATAGGCACAACATGACCTACACCCAGACTAAAGGGTTGTAGTATGTATATGTTATAGAAGGTATCAGGACGTTAATGCTACAGTAGATGTATTCTAACGCAGAGAACTGAGACGCACTCTTGTCCTATTATACTATCTCAGTTATAAATGTTGATTTCCTCTATTCTCGACTCATGCCAGAACGCCAGTGTTGTGCCATTTGGATAAAGAAGCTGTGTGACCCTACGATATGTGGTTCAGTTCTGATGGATCGAAAGAACCGCAACATGTATGCCCGGTTGATGCTTTGTATGCTCAAACGAGGCAACCTGGAGGCCCCTTTTACCACCAAGCCAGAACCTGGGAAGCTCAAGACACTCCCTGCTTACATGGTATGAAACAAATGCAGCACTTAATTCATGTATTTTTTTTTTAAAGATTTAAGAGTCTGTAACCATTAGATTAAACACATAACTTTTCCTATTAATCTGATTATGCTGTTTAATCTGTTCCTGTAGTCCATCTACTTTGACGAACCTGTGAGCAGTCGACGTATGGAGCAGAGCAACAGAGGTCTTCCTCACTGGGTGACAGGAGAGCTCAGTAGTTTGACTGAAGAAAGTTTAACCATGGATCTTAAGAACCAACCCAGTTCGACTCCCATCGCTGCTCATCACAGGTGGGTTACTGCTGGATTCCAACTTTTCATTCATCAACCTTCTGTCAAAATGTAAATATAACAATACAAATGTAAATGTAACCACTAACATTTTATTAGAAGTTGCTCTTTTTTGGATTTTACTATGAAGAAGTAAAAGTTAAAGCAGACTTTACTGTGGCTGCCTGTCAGTTTACTTCAAATTTTTGGGAAAATGCAGATCAGTAATTAACATTTTGGGGGAAATACAGTAAAACTTTGAAAAACTTTTTGATTTTAATGAGGGATGTTTCAATCATAAAACTGCCAGCTGCATGTAAGGAAACTAAAACTATTTTTCATAACAAAGCCCTCTTGATACATGCCCTAATGTTCAAAGAGTTAAATTGTATCGTAATAAAGTTATTATTCTATAAAGTTAGCAGAAGTATTGGACATTGGTTATATAAATGCAATATGCTTTGTGTTTCCAAAATGAGATGTTGACTCACACTTGAAAAAGTAGAACGTGTGATGACAGTTTTTTGGCTGATGCCCGAGCAAGAAAGCTTTTTATTTATTTCTTCAATTGCAAATGTCTCTTTAAATGCTCTTGAAGTCAAATTCTCACTGTCCCATTGTGTTATATTATTGTTTTGCTTTTGTAGAAGTGAATCGCATCAAAGCTAAAATTTTATTCTTAATGGAGTTTTATTTCACTGTGCAACAACTGACATGTTTTAAGTTAGAAGTGGCATATATGTTGCTGAAGGTTATAAATAAATGAACTTTGGTGAAGCATCAGGTTCAGTTAAAATAAAAAATAAATGGAACAGTGATGAGATAATTGCAGTTGGACCAACATATTCTTTAATATGCTCTTAATTTTCAAATTATACTGAAAATATGTTTATTCGTTTGTGTCAAACAGTAGATAACATCTCCTTAACGTAATGCCTTTTAACCTTATCTGTGCTCTGCTAGAGTTGGAAAACATACATTATGCAATATCATTGCTAAACACTGCAATAGAGGTTGTGCAATAAACAAAAGGCTCATTTTCTCTTATCTCTTCCTTCTGCATCAAGAGTGTTTCTCTCTCTCAGACACAGTGAACAAGATTGGATATGGGTGGAAAATGAGTCCATCTGATTGGATAAATACATGATTTCTCTGCAGATTGTAAATGCATGGCACTCCAAAAATACCTTTAAATTACCTCTGGCTCTAATCCAATAGTTCATATGTGAATAAACTATGGCTCATCTTGATATTACAGTGATGCTTATTTTTTTTAACTGTAATGCAGCCCCCAAAAGCTGTAATCTATACACAAATACAATCCTCATCATTTGCAGTGGTTTTTAAACTGATAATCATCGAAATAACCTGTCGATATTTAAATCCAATGCAACCATGAGGGCAGAGTGTAGTTCCTCAGGAGATAAGAGTCGCAGATGTCAAATAACAAATAACAAACATCCTGCATTTTAGTTTTTTTGTTGTTGTTGTCTTTTCTAAGGTCTAAACAGAACCTAACTTTAGCAACTGATTTCCTGCATACATTACTTTGGCTTCAATAGGAAAACAAAGCTTCGTTTTCTATCGAGAAGTATAATGTCTTTAAGACCAATTTGAAGCTTCTCATCAAGACTGAAGTAAAGTCCTGGTGCAATTAGATGTGTGGCTAATTGGATATTAAGCTAATGGCTAAAGGTTTTGCATGGAAATCTGCTTTGTCTGTTAAGGAGATGTTTGCCTTTATTAATCAAGCATCTGATAGAACTTTTTTGCTGAAAAGTTCTGCTACCCGACTAAAAACATTGAACTGCAGACACGGATAGTTTTTCTGACTGATTACCTGTCTTATTTGCTCACTAGCGCTATCTGTAAAGTCAAAGAATTGCCAAGGGCTTGCATCAGTCTGCTTGAGCTGTCCATTCTGAGTTTCAAAGAAAAAAACACTTCAAAACCAGCATGAGAGGATAAAGAACTTCTCATCTGCTCTTTCAATCATTCTGGTGCTTCTCTTCACTTGGTGAACTGGAGTTGTAACTCCACTGTGCAGAAAGGGCAAAGAATAAAGCATAATACATGAGTCTTTTCTGCAATCTATCATAACATGGAAAACATTCAGAATTTCCACCTGTTTTTAGCTTTAAACTTAGTAATTCAGTTAAATTATCTTGGTTTTTTTTATAACTAAAACCAAACGTGTCGGATGTGACAGCAGCTTACTTCACTGTCATCAGTCATCCTAACATGCTTGGGGATGTTTCCTCTGACTACAGGCAGTGGAAGAGGCTCCACAAAGCGATTTTAGCAGTTGCTAACAGGTTTCTTAAATTTAATTAGCAAGGAGAGGCAAATGGGAGCCCAGTGGCTTCATACTCTCATTAACATCATAAAACGGGAGCAGTGTAATAGGCAGAGATGAATATACACCAGGGCGCTGCATAAGAGAGAGTACAAGTCCACCGCTGTCATTTTAATCCATAGTTTTCTGTTGGGGCTGTGGAATTATGTCATTACGATTAGGAGCAGCGACACATACAGCTGTCACCTCTTAGAAAGAAGGGTATAAACATTAAAGAGGCCTGCTGGGGCCTTGCTGTGTGGCATTTCAACTCGCAGTCTAAAGGCGTGTAAGAGTTAACTGACAGCCCTCTCATTGAACCGTATCCTGGTTGCTGTTTATGCTTCCTGGATTCCCAGTCAGCCTCTTTGTAATATGATGCACCAAATAAAATGGTGAATTTCTCATTAGAGAACTGAAGCCTTGTCTGTAGTAAAGTGGAAACTGCTCTGTTTTTTCTTGGTCAAGAGACAAACCTTTGCTCCGTGTTCTGGATCTGACCTGTAAAAGAGAGTTAGAATAGAATAGAATAAAATAGAATAGAAAATAATTTTATTGTCCCACAATAGGAGAGCTCTGGTTATGGATAGAAACTGAAAGAGCAGAGCTACAGATGATGCCAATGGCTGACTTTATCTCTCAGGAAATAAACACATGAAAGGCTTTAAAGGAATAGTACACCCAAAACATGATTAGCCTTCATTTTCTACTCACCCCCATGCTGAACAACACTCTGGAGTACTTTTTTGATATCTTAAATTCATCTGGAGATCTGGGAGGCTTCTTGCTGTCTGCTGACATTCAAATAATGGAGGTCTATGGTGCCCGAGACAGAAAGGTCCATAAAAGTCCACAAAAAACGTGTCAATATTTCTCCATACTGCTCGTCCAAAGTATTCCAAGTGTCCTGAGTGGGTAGCATCCAGAATTTACTCGAAATGAAGTCATTTAGAATGTTTTTAGAGCATAAACAGTAGTGTATAGGATTTCCTGAAAGCGCGCGCCGGCGCGTTCATGACGCTACGGAAACCGCGGCAGACCAAGCCAGATGAAAGTGCGCATTCAGCTCGGCAAAGAACTCATGCTCTTCCTCAACACTGAAGTCCTCAGACATTTTTCTTTCGTTGTTTCTTTCTTTGCACAGGTAAACAGCACATTTCTTCTTCTACGCTTGCATTATCGGCAGAGCAGACGCTCAATGCGCACTTTCATCTGGTTTGGTCTGCCGGCTTCCGTAGCGTCATGAACGCGCCGGCGCGCGCTTTCAGGAAATCCTATACACTACTGTTTATGAAAATGAAGGCTAATCATGTTTTGGGTGTACTATTCCTTTAAACAGATTATAACTAGGGCTGGGTATTTTGGCCAAAGTCCTTAATCGATTCATTTCGATTCGATCTGCTTTTACAATAATGAAAGTGGTTCAACTGTTTATTTTTTCCTGTCTTATTAAACACCAAGTGCAAACTTTTAAATCAGAAAGTTTAAACTTAAGATGTGTACAAAACTGTCTCAAAAGTGCAAATTTGTTTGTGAAAAGTGAAGTGAAGCCTCGGCAGACATGCATGAGCTGCATTATCTCCATTGCAGAAACCATATTTGCAGCGTTGTCTGTAACAACTACAGGGTGTTTGCTGGTCAGCCCCCATTTGTTAATGTATTCAGTCAAACTATTGGCTATATTTCCAGCTGTCTGATTTGAAGTCATCCTCGTGGCCTGTAGCACAAGATGCGAGGTGCCAATCATTATCAATGTAGCGGGAAGTCACCTTAATGTCACATTTCCAGCACATTATCTTTAGCTGTTTTAAATCCAAAATGGTTCCAGACATCAGACTTCAGTTGGGAAAGCTTGCTGAGTGGTGTGTTACTTGGGTCGGCATTTGAATGTGAATGTAAAGGAATCGGTTCAAAATCGATTAAATCGATTTTTTTACCCAGCCCTAATCATAACATTTTACATTATTATACCAAATATACTAATAACTGGATTTATATGGGGCTGCTCAGTTGCGCAGTTGGTAGCACTGCTTGCCTTGCAGCAAGAGGGTTCTGGGTTTCGATTCCCGGCCCAGGGTCTTCCTGCATTGAGTTTGCATGTTCTCCCTGAGCATGCGTGGGTTCTCTCCGGGTACTCCGGCTTCCTCCCACTGTCCAAAAACATGATAGGCTTCTCTAAATTGTCCTTAGGTGTGAGTGTGTTTGTGAATGGTTGTATGTCCTGTGTGTCTCTGTGTTGCCCTGCGATGGACTGGCGACCTGTCCACGGTGGACCCCGCCTCTCACCCATTGACTGCTGGAGGTAGGTACCAGCACCCCTCGCGACCCCACTCGGGACAAGCGTGTCAGATAATGGATGGATAGATGGATTTATATGGTCTTGCTTCGATGTTTTTTTTTTGTAAGTGAAGCTCGATATTTTGTCATTTACACCGCTATCTGTTCAAGTCATTGTTCGGTCATGTGATGGGGATTGTGATGCATATTTGATAAGAAAAATAATCTTGAAGATAAACAGGTCACATCATCTTCAGGTTTGAGAAATCATGACCCAACATCATTCTAGGACTGTTTTTTTTTTCTTCTTTTTTGGCATATGGACTAACCTTGATTTCCACTATTTCAAAGTCTAATATCGTGGACTATTGGCCCAAACTAGCCCCGGTTTAGAAACCACCGACCTGGT